TAATAATAATATATCAACAACAACAACCACTGTTAAAGGTAGCCCCCAGTTTAAGAACAAGTTCTGTTCCCAAGGTCTGTCCTTAAGTCGAATTTGTATGGAAGCTGGAACAGTATTATTGTATAATTAGCAATACCTTATTCCAGCCAACTTCTGTAAATAGCTTTTGAAATAACAACAACAACAACAATAATAATAATATATCAACAACAACAACCACTGTTAAAGGTAGCCCCCAGTTTAAGAACAAGTTCTGTTCCCAAGGTCTGTCCTTAAGTCGAATTTGTATGGAAGCTGGAACAGTATTATTGTATAATGCTGTATAAGTAGTATTGTGTCATTAACTTGAGCCATTGTGTATTTAACTTTAATCACTGTGTATTTAACTACCTGTATTTTAAAAAGTAACATGTCATGCTGGGGTGACAGAAGTGCATGGCACCTGAATGAGGCCAAGTGAGACATGGCCATCTACAGAACAGGGGTGAGAAATCTCTGGTCTCCAGATATTAATAAACTACCATTCTTAGTGCAGGCTGATGGTCAAGGAGGATGGGAATTGTAGTTCTGCAACATTTGGAGTCCACAGCTCCCCCTGCCCCAGTAGACCGTAATAATGCTAGTCTGAGCCAACAGAGGCTTTGATGGGTTCCCCAATTCCTGCACCCCTGAATTCAGGAACAGAAATAGCTGGTTGAGGGATGCTAAATCCAGCCCAGCAAAGTTCACTGAAGATGAAGGGTTGGGTGTAAGCGCTGGGAGGAGCTATTCACTGCCCCCCCCCCCGCATGTGCTCCTTAAACCAGTCTTCCCTTTTTTTTTCACTTAGTAGAACTGAAAAGAAAATTTATTAAGAAATTCATGAAGATAGAAAAGTGTCTCTAAACTACATCTTGGAGGAAGAGAAGGGAAGAGTAAAGAAGGGAGATTGAGGCAGACTCTGACCCGGACTAGGTGTGCTTGCTCCAACCAAATAATCATTTTTTTGAAGTGAACAAACTATTTTCCTGGGTGAGTTCAGGCAGTTCCCCAAAGGGTTGTTTCTTCTAAGTAGACATTTTCCTTGGGTGGAGCCGCGGGGGGCTCAGTTGCCGCTGTTTTCTCTCTGCCAAGATGGAATAGAATAGACTCAGTATGTCAAGGGCAGATGTAGGAATCGCGTTTGCTCTGTAACAGGAATGGAGAGAGAAGACTTTGCAGAGGAGAAATAGCCATTTCGGAGGGTGCTCCAGCTATTTTCCACCTTCTGCTCTTCCAGAGCAAATAAAAGATGCCGTTCAGTAACCTTGGATATGTTTTGCAGTCAAAGTCAATAGAAAGCAATAAAATAACAAATTTGGGGATGAAAGGATGCAGGATAAGCAGGAACCAGATGCAGTAAACAGCAGTCAGATGAAAACTTTCTTTTTACTATACCTTTATTACAGAATCAGAACTCATGTCATTAGCTGAGCATTCGGATGGAGGAAGGCAGATTCCAAGTGAATATTGGGGAAAAAGGATTTCCTAATAATAGGAAAAGTTTTTCAGTGGAATCAATGACTTTGAGAGGCAGTGGGCAACTTTTTAGTGGATGTGTTCAGGCACTAAACCATCTGCTGGGGATGCTACAGTTCTGATACCTACACTATCCAGGAGTTGGACACAATGGCCTGTTCCAACTCTATAACAGCTGAATTTATCCTTGTTAATCACCTGGCTATTGTTTTGCAGTGTCTTTGTGAAATCAGATAACCATGACTTCTGCTTGGGTAAGTCAAATTATTTTTTCAAATGTATAAATATAGACAACTGTAGTAAAGGAGGATGAAATCAGATTGCAGTTTGGCTCAGGCAGTTTAGATCATGAAAGATCTGAGATCTGGACTGAGTGTAAAATTCGGAATGCTGGCAGCAGTGTTTCTCACGCCAAACAGGTGGAACAAGTGTGCTTCCCCATCAGCGGATATATGCACAGTTCTGGGAGGGAATCCCCCTCACTAAATAATTGTGTTGTCACCTGTAGATACTGAAAAGAAATTGGTGTCTAGAAGAGGCAGGGTAATCTGCAGATTTTTATTCCTAGGATGATTGCGGTGTTTAGTTGATTAGCAGGTGGGATTAATCCATTAAAACCCCATATAATTGCTTTGAAAAACAGCTCTCAGGTAATCTTGAAGCTGAGTTTTGGAAAAATGATTGATAGCACCTTTAAAATGTGCAAATGTATTACATAATAAGCTTTCACAGACTAGAATTCACTTCAGTATATCTGTGGAATATTCTGTGTGTGTGCGCGTGTGTGCACGCGCACATGTGCACACACACACACACACACTTTCCCCAACTTGGGCCTTCCACATATAGTAGGATTGGAAATTGTGCAAGTGTGTTACTTCTGAAATATGCCAGGTTGGGAGATTAGTTTAGAATGAAATTAAATGGAAAAGACCGGGACTGTACCATTTAAGCTTTAGTGTATATGCAAACAAGTATTTGATCTTGATAAGCTGATTATCACATGGAACAAAATGTCCTTTATCTTGTCACCTTTATCAAGCAAGTGCTCATGGGAAAATGTGTTTTTGATCAGCTGTAGTAATGCTCAGACTTTTTCTCCTTGAATTTGGGAGGAAAATGTTTACATTTTTAATGCAGACTAGACAGCCCTGTGACCTGTTGGGTCATCCTTTGACAGAAAGGTTGGGCAGTCTGATGTGGCCAGAATGAACATTAAATTTTAGACAGACCATATTTTTTTTACCCCAATGCTGGATGGTCCCGTGATCATCTAAGAAGAATATATATCATAAATAGAAAAATAATTGTAATGGCAAACAAACTTCAGTAATAAGTCAATATTTATTTGCCAAAACAGATAAACAGAATGACTATGGGGAGGCAAAAAAGCAGTGGGACGGGAGTGACTTCCAACTTCTTGCCAGCTTCCCCACTGACTTTGCTTGTGGGAAGCTGGCAGGGAGTGTCAGAAATCACAATCACATGACCATGGGGATGCTGCAACGGCTACAACTTTGTGAATAAAACTGGTCTGAACATTGTGTAAATTTCAATTCCACAGGTCCTGGATTTTTTAGGCATTCTTTAAATTAGTGGATTTTAGGTACCTTGATTCAAAAATTGTTGCGTTATAATGCACCGTTTGGGCTAACTTGAGGGTACAGACAGACAAACACAATAAGAGTTTTAGTAGTATATAGATCTGTACCATGAACACAAATGGGTGATCTCACCTTGGAAGAGAGACCAAGCTTCTTGTGCTCACAGATTATGTAAAATTTTGATTGTTCAGCATAAAGAATTATTTACTGTATCCATCATTTTATATCCAGTTTTCCTTTTTTGCACCTCCATTCCAACATGTAGTTTTCATGCTGTTTTTTTTCTAGACAAGGCTAACGGATAGATTAGATAATTCATTTTTACTGAAATAATACCCCTATTTTTATATCCGTATTAGTGCAGTTTGATGCCACTTTCTACTACTCTGCAATTCCAAATAATTTTGCAAATGAATCGTTTCCCATAGTTGGGGGGTGGTTGGGGGGAAGTACAGAGGAGTCTGTGGCACTGGCGAAGCTGCCAAACTGGCATTTTTGTTTAAGGATGAGAAAATAAGTCTTTAAAACCAGGAAGGGTGTGCCTGGAGTATGCCTCAGAATAACAACAGTCGTGGCTTTGTAGCAAATACCTCATAGTGGTTCAAGTTCTTTCTAAGTAAATATTGACAAACCAAGATATATGTAGATATTTGCTGCCGAAGACTGAATACAAATAGTCTTCTTCCCCAAGTCAACATGCAGATTACTTACAAAATTGGCCAAGTTATCTTGGCACTGGAGGCATAAAATCATGCAATAAAAGTAGAGTAATATCAATTGAAATAGCTACCTTTGTTTCTTTCCATGATAACCCCAAATCACCTGCTTTACTCTTGACAGATGAAGTGATTGAACGTTGTTGCTATATTGCTGTTTTCTACTGTTTTAAGTCTTGTTTGTCTGTTTATTGTTTTTATTGCAAACCACCTTGAGATGCTCTAGACATAAACGATTAATGGGATGGCAGAGTTTGCTAGTTTCTTATTTAGCTAACTCCAGTTCAGTCCGGATTGCACAACGCCCCAGAAGAGATTCAAAACTTTCAAATAAATTCCATCTTGATGAACTCAGTTAACCAAAGCTGGCTGGAGTACCTATTGCAGTTTGCAAGCATTTTACCCCTAATTCTTGCATTGAAACTTCTTATTTAAGTCCGTGGAGTTCTTGTCTCCATAACCATTCCCTACTGTATGGGGCTTGACTTGAAATACTGGTAGTCCTCACTTAGCAACCACAATTGGGACCAGCAACTCCTTTGCTTAGCGACACAGTTACTAAGCAAGACTTCATGTGACTGCAACAGGCTTACAACCTCACTTCTGCTGCAGTCGTTAAACAAATCAGAGAGGTCATTAAGCGAGACATCACCTGACCGTAGCTTGCGATTTCACTGCCAGCTTCTCCATTGACTCTGCTTGTTGGAAGTCAGTTGTGAAGTGCACGAATGGTGATCACGTGACTGCGGGACGCTGTACTGATTGTAAATGTGAGGACTGATTGTAAAGTTACATTTTCAGTGCCTTTTTAACTTCGAACAGTCGCTAAACACGGTGGTCGGTAAGCGAGGTCTACCTGTAATTAAATAGGCAGTTAAATAAATAAATAATAGGAGGGCTAGCCTTGCCAAAGTAACAGAAAAGTTTAGGGCTGATTTTAGGTAAATTGAAGCTAGTGTATATGCCATTGATAAGCCTGAAAGTGTGGAATGTGAAATCCACCTTTCGCAGCAGATAATTATAATGCTTGTGTTGAAAAATTGCAGGATACCCTTGTTAAAAAATATTAATTGATTTATTAAACTCATTTCTGCCTCTCACAGAATGACTTTCAGTGGCTTATGTAGCTAGAGAGAAGAATTTATAACAATTATGGTCACATCTAAACCCAGATCAAAACTAACAAACACCATCAATAAACATAGCAATCACCCCCCAGCACTAAAAATAGAAGCAATAAAAGATTAAAGATGGCATTCTGTATAAACTCAGGGGAAAACCTTCCAAAATGTATTCAATATCCTGTAAAGCTCTTGAAAATAATGTGATGGAATAACATAGGAAAACCTGCCAAAATGGAAAATAACCTTGGAGTTAAATTAATCTTAATTATATTTATCTTACAACAAATACTCAAAGGAATTCTGGGCCATCTGTGTAGATACTTTCATTTACACAAAAACAGGGGATAAACTGACATTGACCAGTTAAGAGACCTCCCAGGGAATTCTTATAATACCAACAGGAGTATCTGCAGGCTGTAGTCAAAAAAGTCAAGATGATGGCTGCAATGACACAATTGGAGCTCTGCCTATTTTTTATGTACGTCATTTGTGTTTTTTAGGTGTGTTGAGTGTTTTCACGTGTGTCGTGTATGTTTTTGAGTATGATGCACATAAAAAACAAATGGGACAGCAACCACATCATTGTGGCCACCATCTTGACTTTTTTGACCATATCCTGAGACCGACCCTGAAAACCACCACCCCAGAAAAGTTCAAAGGAGCCTGAACACAACCTAAAACCCATCTCTGCAGAAATGTCCCCTGTGTGTGGGGGGGAGGGGGGAATGCCAAAAAAGTTAATATGTCATGTTTGTAATATTGATATCCTAAACTGCAATTAATACTGATAAAATGTTTACTTCTCTCTTTTTATTTTCAATACTTTGAGCTTCCTAAATAATAGAACTTCGGTAACAGCAATCATATGACATACATATTACTGCATTGAAATTTGCATTGAAATAATACCATGTATCAAGATTTATAACATTACAATAAAAGGGAAAAAAAGAATTAAAAAAATTAATATGTCCAAAAATGAGCAGGGCTTTAATGATGCGGTTACAGCCTTCATCTCTGACCCTGGCTCTTTGCATTTGTCAAGAATTTTGCGGTAACCCACTGACATCTCATCTCATTTGTTCCCATTTACTCCAGCCACACCGGATGCTGAAGTTCTGTATTAGCGAAAGGAGATTAGGAATAGAAATTCCTTATCTAGCTATAAAAATAACACATCATCTGCATATAATGGAACCTTATTGTATTACCTCTGACCATCCCCTTGCTGTGGGAATTCCTGCCTAGCCTGTCTTTCGAGCAGGGAATTTTGGGAGCCTTCTGGAGGGTCCCATCCTCACTGACCTACCGCTGTTGCATCATGATCAAAGCCCTTTATTTTACCTAAGCAGCTTGTAGGAAAAATCCAGAAGCAAGGCAACACCGTTCTGCAGTGGGATGCATTTCCAACGCCAGAAACCTGTCCTGCACACCCAAATGCAGACCTCAGGGAATTTTGCTCAGTTGCAGAAACGTGAAATGTGGAAATGGCAGGTTGTTTGGAGTGGCTCTCGGCTTATTGGTGGAAAATCTGCCATGCCCAACTGCTGATGAACTTCCCTGATTCCTAATCAATGGGGCTTCAGCTGGATTCCTTCCCTGATGGAACATTGATTGTAGTTTGCTGTGGCTCTGGGTGTTTTTGTGTTCATGTGCAAAATCCACACTGCAATGCAGACGAGTGGGGGTTCATTTCATTCATATCTATGTCTTTTATTCTTCCGGGTTGTCATTTATTTAGAGCACATTTAGAACCTGTGTGTTGTGCAGGCAGGGTTCTTTTTAAATTTTTGAATAGCAGAACTAAGTCAACATTCCTGAAAGGCTGAGTTCATATCAACTCTTGCTGTTTCTTCTTTCTCCACACCCAGGTGAATTATTTATATCCTCTTATGCGCATACAACAGTTGGTATCAACAAAAGGCCAGGAATTCTCTTTCGTTGGCAGACTTATTTTATAAGAACTGAATAAATCAGCTTTTTGATGATTCGGCCGTAAAAGGCCGAAGGTGACTTATATGGTTGCACTTTTCTTAGTATCCTATTTCAGTGTTTCCTATTTTTTAAAAAAGGTGGTAGATTTCTATTTTTTTACTGAACAACTGGGAAAAAAACCTGGAAGATTTCTTTTCAATGTGACACTGCTCTCAAAAAGATGGCTTTAAAATCCAGAATTGGCTGGTTTTCCATTTTCAATTGCACCAATGTCTTTTCATAGGTGCAATTGAAAAGGTTAAGTTGGTGTAAAAAAAATATATCCGAGAATAGATCTGATTTGCCATTTTCTAATTCTTACATTGATTCTGGGCCCTCTGGTTGTCAGAGAGCAGCACTTCACCCAGGAATCTGGTTTACTTTTTATCTCTTTTCCTTGCATGTCTATTTGGGCTGAGAGAGAATGCAAGCCTAAGTCTGTCCATGGCTAAAGGTGCACTTGAACCTAGATCTCACCATTCCTGGTCTAACACCAGGATACTAGAGTGATACTCTACCACCCATTCTCCCTTCCTTCTTTCCTCTATCTCTCTACACTTCCATACAGTCTATAGATGACCTCAGTGAGATGAGATCGTTGTCCCATGAATCTCAGCTTCTTCTACTCTGTTGATGGTGCTTTTGGGGTTTGAGGCATTGTGTTAACCTGCCACTTACCAACATGTTTTGAACTGGAGATGTTGAGGTTGAACCCATGACCTTTGACATGCAAAGCATGTGTTCTCCTACTGAGTACAGCCTGTAATCCTGTTTGCTTTGTGCATTTCTTGACCTTGAATCCAGTGTCATTGTGCAATTGTCCAATGTCATCTCTTTTCTTTTAGGTTGGTTCTAGAGGAACAATACATGATTATCCTGGATTCAGTGCTTCAAAAGATGCAGAGGCGATTAAGACAGCAGTTCAAGGACTGGGTAAACATCCTGTTTTCTTTGGGAAAGGAAGACAGGTTGGGTTAGATAATCTATCTCCTGTTGGATTGCGGCTTCTGGCCACCAAAGTAGGATTAGTGTGTGTATGGGGGACCATGAACAAATGGCTGTAGGCTGTAGACTGGGAAGAGGAAGATGTGACAAGCTATTTCTGCATTTTGCAAAGAGGAATGCATAGAGGTATCCTTGAAGTCATCAGGACTTGAGGAGGAGAAGGAGATTCTGGAAGCATAGTTGTTCCATATGATGATAATTTAAAATCCACAAACTGTTACTTAAATTCCCAAACCAAGCCAAGAAGTCATCTGCTGCTTATCTCAGGCATTCTGGATTCAGAGGAATATTGAATGTGGAAATTACATCACAGAGTGTGTGTGTGTGTGTGTGTGTGTGTGTGTGTATGTATATATATATATATATGAAGCTAGATGGTTAATCCATTGGGGGGCTTGAGCAGTAGATTGTCTTCATCCTCAGAGGAGTTGATCTACGTGATCTCTGAGATACCTTCCAAGACTGTGATCTATTTGTTATAACTGTAGATCATCCCAAAAATACAACAAATAGGTCCTCCCAAAAATATCCAAATACCAATGGTGACTACACTACCAAGGGTGAGAGAGAGTGTGGGGATGTTCAGAGAGTAATGGAAGGAATGTTAGACATAAACAACTAAGAGATAGGACGAGAATCTGTAGGTAACTTATCTCATAAAGAACAGCTCAGTCCAGACTGGAAAAAGTCCTGGGAAGAAACAGTTCAAAACGCTCCAAGGGCTTCTGCTGCAATGAACTCATTAATAAATGAGGGTTGGAAATTCCTTTCACAGTTTCCAAGATTTACCCCTAATTCTAGCATTAAAGACACCTTCCTGAAGTCTGTGTTAATTCCCACTTCCTTGATCTTGCCCAGCAATGTGGAGCTTGACAGAGAGACTGGCTAGCATCTAACTCAGTGTTTCTCAAACTTGGCAACTTTAAGACATGTGGACTTCAACTCCCAGACTTGCCCAGCCAGCATGGCTGGCTGGAGAATTCAGGGAGTTGAAGTTCACATGTCTTAAAGTTGCAAGTTTGAGAAACACTGATCTAATTCTTTATCCCCAGGCAGGGACAAATAGCATCTATTCCTGGGAAGCCCAGATTTGGGGCTGACCCTATTATTAAATGTAATGAAATGGCATCAGGATGGCATTGTAGGAGAGCTGTGTTAGTCTGTGGTGGCAAAAAAATCATCATCAGGTGCATCTGTTGAAGTTGTTGATATGTTCATGAAAACATATCGATCTTAATAAAAAATGATTTGTTGGAAAAGGCGCTACCAACATCAGGTTCAAAATCCTCCTACTTTCCCATGTTGGCTTTCTGACATACCTTCCTGGGGCAGCAGCTTCACTGCACAAGAAGACCTCAGCCCCTGATCTGTTTATCATCATAGATGCTCCCCTAGATCCAACCCAGAACAACCTGTTGTAATGGGGATGCAGCACCTAGTTGTACAGGAAGCCACGACAACCATGTGACAAAGCTCCTCTTGGAATATCTTCAAAACGAGTGTCCTAGAAGGATCAGCTAGCCAGTTGAAGGGATGGGGTGGCATTGGCAGGGAGGGGAATTAGGAGGATCCCCTTGGGCTCTTTCTGTCCAGGTTATTGTTAAAATTACAGCAAAATCTCAATTTAATGGACCCCCATTTAATGGACTTCAGATGCAGCGGACCAAATTTCCATCTGGACATCCACCCAAAATAACAGACCAATCTGTTACATGCAAAGGAGTCCAGATGACTACTGGATGACTAACAAACAAACAAAAATGCATAACCACAAAATGCCCAAATTAAAGGCACCAGATGAATTTATCTTCTTTTTACAACACGCTTGATGATTCTGGGTGGCAACATTATGCAAACATTGTGAATCATCCCCATGACACACCTCTGTTTTTAAGAGTAAGAGACCCTCCCTCCCAACAGTCCATTAAAGTGAAGTTTCCTTGTAAAGAAAACTTGAGAATGGGATACAGGTTGCCCGTCACTGAAGTTCAACATGTTTTACTCCAGGATTCAAGAATCTTCCTCTTTCTTAGCTGACTCCTTTCCTAATTTTGCTTTTAGGCACAGATGAAACATCGCTGATCAACATCCTAACAGGGAGATCTAATGCTCAGCGGCAGCTGATAGCTAAAGAGTTCAAAGACTACACTGGAAAGGTCTGCATCCTTGAGAAATATGGCGAAATGGTAAAGGGGGGGCTTGGAGGGTCGGGGGCTCCATTATCTGCCAGCCACTGAGTCATCGTGGCAATTGGTGTGGCAATTCTAGTTTCTGGAAGAGTAATTAGAGGAGTTCTCTAGGAGAAGGGGATTCTTCTGTTCCTCCTTAGAAAAAGGAAAAGAAGGAAGAAAAATCCAGTGAAAATAAACGTTCAGATCCTTGAGATCATGTCATCCTGCCCAAAAATACCTTGCAGGGGGCTTATGTCTGAAGTGGTATAGTCCAGTCAAGACTTTGCAGAGTAATAGTATCTGAGGTGACACAGTCCAGCCAAGACTTTCAATTTCTCATTGAGAACTAAAGTAAAGGGGAAAAAAATAGTTTTGGTAGGATACATTTTCTCAACAGTAAAATTGAGACACTATCAGGACCTGCCTTGCAGCATTCCCCAACTGGATGCTCTCCATATGTTGTGGACTAAAAAAATTATGATCCCCAGCTATGACGGTTGGGATTTATGGGAGCGTAGTTCAACACATCTGGAGCATGCTGGATTGGGAAGGATTGCTGAAGCTGTCCAGGATTCTTGACAGTGAGAATTATTCGTGGTTCCACCTTTTACTTTTCTTTTCAAAGGATCTGAAAGAAGCTTTGAAAGAAGATACTTCAGGTGATTTTGGGCGTGTCCTGGTAGCTCTTGTAATGCCTCCTGCAGAATTTGATGCTGAACAAATTAACAAAACCGTCAGAGTAAGTCGACAAGGATGGTTTTCCTCTTAACCTTAACCCTAACTCAGCTTGCCACAAGTTCTTACTTGATTCTGTTTTGGGGAAATACAATTTTCTGTCACACTCTCCTTTTATGTGAATGCTTCTTAATACAGTTGCCTTTTTCTGACAAGTGGGGGGGGGAATCAAAATAAAATTTTCTGGAAGAAAGAGGGGGAAAGTGGTCATTTGTACAACTGAAGCTTTTTGCTTTTTTTTTTTTTATTGTATTTATTGTTTACTGAAGAGGCAAGCCACTCCATAAACTAAGGAGTAGCTAGCCTCTTCAGCAGTACTGTTGCAAAGAAAGCAGCAGGCAAGGCTATAACTTTCAGCTCTATGACTTCCTATGTATAATATATCTCTTCTTTGGATTTAGTCCTAATATACACATACACAGTTTCACATTTGTCCAAGAAAAACAGCAAAATATTGATAGTGTAGCTGTCCCTCTTCAGGCCATCAGTGTTCCCCACCTTTCCTCTTGAGGGCAGCTCCATTTTAAAATCCATACTTTTAACAAGCAGTTATGTATTGATGAGTTAATTGATCAATGCTCTTTCATCTACCACTATTCTTGTTAGTTCACACAATTAACCAACAATTTGTTGGGTGCTTACATTAATCACAAATGCAGTGCAAGCATGGTTCAGTTTCAGTGATTTCAATAAAATGTAAGCCCTCGTGTAGATCCATCTTGCTGAAATCCGCTTACAAACATTTCCCTAAGATGAGGTCAGCCCATTTTTCTTCTGCCAGAATGAATTTTCTAATGTCAAAATGATCTCTTTTGGTCTTTTCTCTTGTTCTGAAATTTTAGCCATGTTGCGACAGCTTCTGCAATGGCCAAATGTTTGATACCCATAGGATCTACATAAATCTTGAATGGAAAATTTAGCATCTTTTTAATGTGATTCTTGCCAGGGCATTGGAACTAATGAGAAGGCGCTGATTGAGATCCTGGCTTCCCGAACCAGCAGGCAAATCAAAGAAATAGCCCAGGCTTATTATACAGGTAACAATTGCCTTGACTGAATAGCTACTAGCCAGATATTTGCCACGTATACAGCAATAGCTCTGGGGGAGATGGGCGGCATACAAATTTAATACATAAATAAATAACCAACCAATCAACCAGTCTGGAAAGGAAAGTGGCTCAGGAAAGGGATATTATATTCCTAGAAAGCCTCAGCCAAGAAGTGCAGAATGGGAGGCATCCATCTTCTACACCCTAGTCTCTGCGGTGGTCTCATCTACAGCTTGCTGCAAAAGGTTAGAGAAGAACCCTTTAGCCAAGATGATGTTCATTGAGCAACAGCATGGCTGATGCCAACATTCAGGAGCTATTCGTTGCAAATGCAAGTACAGTGGAGGATAAACTTGGGTCAGGCCTGGTGGACATAGTGGCTGACAGACTGAGTTGTGAAGCAGAGGAGGTTGAGTTAGATAGGCAGCACCCACTCCCTTGTGGTTCCTCTTTCAATCTAGTTGGCTCTGTTGCAGCGGTTCTCATTACTCCACTGATGATGAACCTGGTCTCCAGCCCATCGGCCCTGAAAGACACCAACTGCCATTGATATAAGCAACCACCATAGTGGGTAGGGTGAAAAATGCCCCTCTTTTCATATTTAAGTGGGATTTCATGGGCAAAATGGGTGCTTTTGTCTTGTTGAGATCTAAGGTGCCATTTTACCCCTTAGGAATCTTGGAAACCTTGTTAACAACTGGAATCCTGCTCTCTTTCTTGGCATGCCATGTTTGTAGCTGAAGAAAATTGTGGATTTCTGATCTAAAGGATTTTATGCAGAAGTCCATGGGCTTCCCATCATTAAGTCAGATCCTGTTGAATTAGTATTAGCTGGCCCATGTCCCCCCTAGCTTTTATTTTGATAAGTGGCACTAGCAAAAGATCCTGCTGCACTTCAGGAAGATGAATTGCTGAATTGCAGAGAAGCTGACCAAGATGGATTGGAAAATTGAATGCAGCCAGCCCAGTCAAGCCAATAGTTGGAGTTGGTACAGTTCTTTCAGAGCTGTGGCATTGATTAATATCTGGAAGATGGATGTCTGTTCTCTTGGTGAGGGTGAAGAAAGCCCACTAGTGGGAATAGAGTCAGATGTCCTGCTCCAGTGCATTGTAGTCTAAGCTGAGCAAAGCAAATAAGCTTGGATTGAAGAACAAGCTGATTGAGTCACAATGGACTGGTTCAGTAAACCCCAACTCTGCTGACATTGCAAGTGAAGGAATGTAGGTTAACAGCTTGGTGAGGTCCTGTAAATTGGCCACCTGAGTGCCCTTCAGGTGTCTTGAGACTTCAGTTCCCAGAATTCCATGGCCAAAGGCAGTTCTGGGAGTTGTAGTTCCAAACATGTATAGAGGTCATCACATAAGGGAAGGCCAAATAAACTGGATGAGAAAGTTTTGCTTAATCTTTCTTAGGCCATGGAACATGCTTTAGTGTTCAGAGCATTTTACATTTGATGGATTACAAACTTGAAAGGCAGTTTAATATTAGTAGTCTCCATTTGTAGATGGGATTACTAAGTGAGCTAACTTCACCATTACCAGTTAAGATGCTCAGAGCAGGGGAAAGGTTAAGGGTCTTCTGATAAATAGGTTATATTCTCAATGACATTTTGCTTTAAAAAAAAAAAATCACAAAAAGCCCAAAATAAAAATTGTCCCAAAGAATATATGATTTATGCCAGATTGGAGCCCATGTAATACAATTCCTTTAAAGCCTGGATTTGCAACAAGGAATACTAGGGTGAAATTCCAGTTTTGCTATGAAATACCTTTGGAAACCTCCAGAAATAATTGTTTTTCTCTGACTGATCTTTTATCTGGAATATTGTAGAGAAATAATAATAATATACCAATAATCATCCTGAGATAAATTAATTCCTGCTTCTTTATGTCATTGCTAAAAATACATGCTATTGTTGAAACAAGAAATGGGTTTCTTGACCTCAAAATAAGCAAGCCGTTTTTACAATTACTAGAAGTGTCATTATCTGGCACATGTAAGATTGCAAGGTATTCTCTACTGCATTAATGGAGCTTATCATTAAGACCCTCAGTTGGGGGAGTGTGGAGGAATGAATATCTCTTGCGTGATCTTAATTTCTTTCAGTTGATTGAAAAAAAGATGCACAAGGAACCCAATAGAAGCCTCTGTATGCAGAAGTACCAAGAGACACAAAGGTTGTGGGAAGAAATGTTGGGAGATCTAAGCCAATCTTCTCTGACCTAAGGGTTTGAAAGGTCCTTGGTCTATCATGGCCATGTTGATGGCGGGGGGGAGGGTACTGTAATCATGGGCATTGGAGAAAGTCCTTCCATATCATTTCTGAGCTCTGTGTGAATTTGAGACTCTCCACTGGCAGGATTTGTGGCCAAACAACAGGTGAATCTTTGCCCACTTTTTGTAACTGCAAAGTACATCATTTGGGAAGGAACTGGTAGGTTAGAAATTTAACCCTTTTCTGCCTTTGGATTTAGGAGGAAGTCTTCTTCTGAAACTAGCATTTGGACATAGAGGTAGCCAATGTAGGGCCCTCTGGTATCATCATACTGTTTCCAGAATTACTATATAGTTATCATTCATATATTGTTTGTAGTTAATTGGTTCCTCTGTTAATAGATATTGTGCCAGGCATGTGTGAAGGTATGAATGGGCATGCAGGAAGGATACAGTTCATGAGGCCCATAGCAGGCCCAAAAGGCAGAAAGGTTGGTTTGTATAGGAAGATTGCAGCCTACTCAGCCTGTGGAGCATGATAACATGTTCTTACAGCGAAAGATAGTCCATCCAGAACAGATAGCTCCCATGCAATCTAGATGAAGCAATGACACTCTTGTCATTGAAGAAAGAACCAGTTGGTGTGAGAAAAGTGCCCATATGGCACTACCAAGCCTTGATGGACTGGTCATGCCTTGTTGGAAGGTATGTAAATGTGTGTGGATTGTAGCTTTGTAGCCATGGTACCAAATAAAGTACTGTGCACGTTGGTTATCCTGCCATGATTTTTCTGGAACTTAAACCTAGCCTGGCCAGTTGAGTCAGTATGCACGGTTGTAGGAATGCATGAATGGTTGGAACTCTTAGTTCAGAATGTGAATAATAAAAGTTAAAACCCTATATTTGTCTGTCGATTAAAACACACAAGTAACACTGTAAGTATCATAAAAACCTCATTATGACCCTAGGAATGACAAATATTTTGGATTACTACTCCACAGCTTTTTCCCACAGGCTAAGTTGGCTACAGCAGAGGAAGCTCAAACATTCAGATGACACCTGATTTATGCCGCTTATCAATTCCTCCTCTGGCTTATACAGTTAGCATTTTAAAGAACCTGCACTATAGAGGCAATGCAAAATAAGCCAGAGATCTTCTGTTTGTCAGCTCTTTAGCGACGGAACAAGATAACAGGCAGGATTATTCAGTCTGATCTGTGCTTAAAAGCTTTGCAGATAGGATGGCCTTTCCGCGTGCTGACCTTGAGTAAGGAGGGATGTACAGCTTCCATCAGAACAGGGCTGCATCAGAAGTCATGTAGTGGGGCTTCTCTGGTCTTATCAAGACAACAGTTAGATAATGTTTATTGACAGTAGGTAATCTGCCTGGCTATTCATGCAGAGTGTTCCTTATTTAAGCAAGTATCACTAACTCTGTGTGTTTGTTTTGGTTCCAGTTTATAGGGCCAGCCTGAGGGAGGACATCGGTTATGACACGTCAGGAGACTTCAAAAGAACTCTTATGGCCCTGCTCGATGTAAGGGAGCTTTTAGCAGATTTGTGTAAATGACCTTGCAGTTGCCTAAAGTAATGCATCTTATTTTAAGGCCATCTTGTGATGCAGCTATTCACAAATGAGCTAATTTAAACATGTTATATTAATTCCTATCCGGGCATTCATTCCAATAGATTGCCCTTGCTACTTCTGAAAGGGTATGCTCTCCTCCCTCTTTGGATGTCTTTAAATAAAAGTGGTCTAGTTCGAAGTCTAAGTTCCAGTTATAAGTCCCAGTTCTAGTTCTAGAACTAGGTCTCGTTCCAGTTCTAGAACTAGGTCTCGGTCTAATTCCCACGTCATTCCAGAAGTTGGGTGAGATAGCCACCAACGTTCCTCCGAAGCTATGGTGTCCCACGTTTTCACAATATGTGACAGAGCTGAAAATATGGTGAGGCCATTCCATGTTTGTACTCCTAGAAGAGAAGTTGCACAACGTCTTCCCTTCTCCAGTGTTCTTGAAGAAGATTGATCTGTGACCACAGGGCAGTAGAAAAAAGCTACAGCCATGGAGGAATTGGTGAAGTCTGATTGATACTGGTCAGCAAAATAATGGAGATCCTTTTAGCCTATTCTCTAGAGCAGTGTTTCCCAACCTTGGCAATTTTAAGGTGTGTGGACTTCAATTCCCAGCATTCCCCAGCCAGGTAGGACTAGTTCCACTGCACTGCAGAGAATTAATCCAGAAACAGGAGGGAAGCCCAGTGGTTGTTAAAAGGAAATGAATTTTCTGAATTTTTCTTCCCTGAAGTTGCCCTCAATTGCCATCTTTCAGCTTCTGCTGTTTGAAGTCAAGGGAGATTCACCCATCATAACCCTGGTCTGGTTATTCCTGTCTAATCTGCATTTTTATAAACAACTGGATTGCAACAGAAATGCAACAAGTACTGTTTTGTCAAGGAATCAGGCATCTTCTTACTTGCAGAGGATACAGGATCATGCTGAATGATATTTAATTTGGGTGCTCATATTGGGTTTTTCCTCATGTTTTTTTCTTCTTCTTCTCCATACTATCACAGGGCAGAAGAGATGAAAATCCAGAGGCCAATGGAGAAGTAGCAAAGAGGGATGCGCAGGTAATCACAGTTTGGAAAAGAGCTGGATACAGGATCCTATTTTTTTTGTTTTAAATCTCCAAATTGTTAAAAGTCCTTTCTGCTTTTTGAACTTGAATCAGAAGGCAGCTATCTAGACCTGAGAATGCTGTATTTATCTATATTAAAAGATCTAGGCCAGTGTTTCTCAACCTCAGCAACTTTAAGATGGGTGGACTTCAACCCCCAGGATTCCCCAGCCAGCATGCTGGCT